ATCCATTAATAATAATAATAATAATAATAATAATAATAATAAATTGTTTGATCAAACGAGAGAGAAAGAGAGAGAGAGAAAATTTTCTTTCTTTCTCTCTTTCATTAATTACAAAAATGAGTAATTAAAAAACATTATTAAGAATATAAAACGAAAAAAAAAAAATTTTTTTTAAAAGGTACTCCCCCAATGGAAAATTATTATTATTATTACTATTATTATTATTATTATTGTTACTATTATTATCATTAAACGCGGAAAATTTCGGAATTTTTCCCCGAATCCTTAAAGTAATAAATCTTCGAACATTTCAGATGTCTGTTTAATTGTTATCATTATTATTATTATTATTATCATTATCATTATTATGTTTTCTTTTTCCAGTGCAATGCTGCCGTAGGTATGAAATCATTGTTCGACATGATACACGAAGGACCGCATAAATTAATGCTTTTCGGAGCCGCGTGCACTCAAGTAACGGATCCGATTGCCAAAGCTTCCAAACACTGGAGATTAACACAGGTAAAACCCTTTTTAAGTAGTATAAGTAAAGGGGGTAGGGAAGAGGAGGGAGGGGGAACATTATCAAATGAATGTTGAAATGCGTGATAAGAGAGAGAGAGAGAGAGAGAAACGTTTACGAGAAATTTTTCGACGCCGGAGAATTCGAAAGGTCTTCTTTGTTTTGGTTTCCTTTGGAAAAATTTTTTTTTTTTTTTGCCAAACATTTTCCAGTCGGATTCCAGCCAACAATAAACATTACGTAATTATTATTATTATCGTTTTTTAATTCGTTTCCGGTTTTGATAATTTTTTTTTATCAAACGGAAAAAAAAATTTTTCAGTTAATAATCATCATTATGATTTGTTTAAATTTCTTTAAATATCATCATCATCATCATCATCATCATCATTATTATTATTATTATGGTAAATAAAATTAAATGATAATAATAATAATAATAAAATCGATCAAAAGTTTTAGATATATAAATTATTATTATTAATATTAAACTTTGCGTGATGAATTTATTGTAGGTCGTTTTTTATTTTTTGTTGTTCGTTTGTTCCTTCGTTTGTTCGTTCGTTTGTTGGTTTGTTTATCAACAATAAAAAGTTTATCAATTTCTTGTATAAATTGTTCCTTTTCAAAAAAATTAATCCTTTTTGATATCGTTGATAAAACTTTTTGTCCTTTTAATTTTATAATTTTAAACGGGTTAATTTCACTCGAGTTTTTGTTTTTTTTTTATCGTCTTTCCGACAAATGTCAAGCATTAACTGGAAATTTGAAATGTAAACAGAGAGAGAGAGAGAGAGGGGGAGCAGAGAGTGCACAGCAGAGAGAAAAAGAGAGAGAAAGAGTGCAGAGTGCACAACACAGGGAGAAAGAGAGAGAGAGAGAGAGCAGAGAGGGCCAACAGAGGGAAAGGGGGAGCAGAGAGGGCATAACAGAGGGAGAGAGACAGAGAAAGGGGACAGAGAGGACACATTAAAGGAAGAAAAGAGAAAGAAAGAGAGAGAGAGAGAGAACAGAGAAGGAACAACAGAGAAAGAGAGAAAAAATAATGAAAAATTTGAAACCGAGAAAAGAAATTATTATTATTATTATTATTATTATTATTATTATTATTATTATTATTATTATTATTATCATTATTATTATTTTACTGGAATCGACAACGAAAGTTTTCATTTATTGATTTATTAACGTTTTTAGTTTTCCAGTTTTTTTTTTTTGGCAAACTTATAAAAAATTTATTTATTATTTAAAATGTCGGATTTCTTTCGTTTCAGTTAGAAAATATAAAAGAAATTTTTTTTTTTTTATTTATTTTCATTGAAAACTGAGTGAATTGTTTCTCTCTCTCTCTCTCTCTCTCAAAACGTGCGACCCGATTTGTGTAATAAAATGAATTTTTTTTTTTTTTTTCATTTTCCATTTTGAGAGGAAAAAAAAAAAAACATAAAATTTTTATACGAGTGATTTTTTTTTTTTTTTTGTCTCTAAAATTTAAATTTCCTAAAAATATTTTCAAAATGGCGCTACCCCACAAAAAATATCTACCTCTCTCTCTCTCTCCCCCTCTCTCTCTCTCTCCCCCTCTCTCTCTCTCTCTTTCTCTCCCTTTTCATTTTAATTACTTTAATTTGAAATTTGCATTTACAAAAAAAAAAAAAAAAAAACATAAAACAAGCAAACAAACAAACAAACAAACTTGGAATGAGAGATAAAATATTAAAAAAAAAAGGAAGAAAAAGGAAACGAAAAATCAACTTGGAGGCAAAGGGGGAGAAGGAGGAAGAAGGAGGAATAAGAGGGAGAAGGGGGGAGGGGGGGAGAAAAAGAAAATAATTAAGATATTAATTTTGATGAATGTGCATTTCTCGAACGGTGACAACAATGATGATGATTGTGATGGTGACGATGGTGACGATGATGATGATGATTAAATGAAAGAAAAAAAAATCTCACGAGTAAACTATTAATTAATAATTTTACTGATTTTTTTAAATAATCACATTAAAGGACGCCATGTTTGAATTAAAATAACTGAAATCCCGATGATGATAATGATGATGATGAAAAACTCATTCGATTCGCTTAAGTGAATCGCAATAAAAAAGAAAAAAATCAAAACCGTGAAAAAGAGAAAGAAAGAGAGAGACAGAGAGGGAAAAGGGAAAAAGAGTCAGAGAGAGAGAGAGAGAGAAAGAGTGAAAAAGAGAGAGAAAAATAAACTTAAGGTGATAATCATTTTTAAAAAAAAGGGTGATGAAGGTTCAAAAGGATGTGATGACGTCACATTACGAAAAATTTTGTTATCTTTTTACCTCAAACGAGAGAGAGAGAGAGAGAGAGAGAGAGAGAGAGAGAGAGAAAGATGATAACGTAAACGGCGTTTTTTTCGTCTCCGTGAATATAATAATAATAATAATAATGTTTTTTATCGTAGAGATTTTTTTTTTAATCTAATTTTTTTTTGTTTTTCCAGTTGTCCTACGCTGATACTCATCCAATGTTCACAAATGATAATTTTCCAAATTTTTTTCGAATCGTACCAAGCGAAAATGCTTTCAATCCTCCAAGACTGAAACTTCTTCAAGAGTTCAACTGGACTCGAGTCGGAACGATTTACCAAAACGAGCCCAGATACTCACTAGTAAGTATAAATTAATTCTTTTTTTTTAACTACAGGCAGCGTTGCTGTCGTCGTCGGATAAACGATTTATTTCGATCTATCGATCGTTCGATATATCGATCGATTTAAAAAATTTTTTTGTTATTTTTTTTCTCCTTTTATTTCGTTTTTTTATTTATTTATTTATACGTGTTTGTTTTTGTTTTTTTTTTTTTCCTTTTTTTCCTTTGAATGATTTTTTATAAATTTCCTTTGAAGGATTTCAGAGTAAGAGTAACTTGTTATTCGATTGATTTATTTAAATTTTAAATTCTTTTCCGGTTTTTTTTTTTTTCTTGAACTTTTAAATTTTTTTTTCCCTCGGTTAATGCCACGATTGATATTTTTTATTCCCTCTCGTGTCACGATTGTTTTCACTTTTTTTTTTTTTTTCTCGATAAAAACACATAATTCCTTTCTTTTTTTTTTTTTTTTTTGTTGTTGTTGTTGTTGTGGGGATAAAGTGAAAAATAAATTTTTTCCTTTTTTTAATTTTAATACTGGAGGATAAATAAAAATCCAGGGATCGCGGTTGCGTTTGACATTTTTAGGGAAGAGAGAGAGAGAGAGAAAAAAAAAGAAAAGCTGGAAAACTTATTGCTGTTGTTGGAAAAAAAAAAAAAAGATTTTCGTTTAGAAAAAAATTTTCGAGTCATTTAAATTTTTTCCTTTTTTTTCCTTTTCCTTTTTTTTCCTTTTTTAAAAAAAAATTTTTAATTTTGAGATTTAAAAAAAAAAAAAAAAACTTACGTACAAAATGGCCATTGTCGTTGCGGTTTTTTTCTCCGTTTTTCCTTTTTTTTTCCTTCTTTTTTTTCCCACCATTTTCTTCGTTATAAATTTCATAGTAGCCTCCAGGGAACTTTATAAAAAAAAGGGAAAAAAAAAGTTATTCAAAGGTATTAATGGATAAAATTAAAAAAAAAAAAAAATTTTTTAACTTTTACTTTTGCATAAATTTTTTTTTTTTTTAATAACTTTTTTTTTTTAAATTTAACTCGAAGAATGACTCGTGGAAAAAAAAAAAAAGTTTTTTTTTCCAGAACGTTCCATCCATCGATTTTTTTTTTTTTTCCGATTCATTTACTTTTCCTTTTTTTATTTTTTCGTCATTACAAAAAAACTTTATATTCTTATTTTAACCGTTATACAAACAAACGAAAATTACAAGAATAATAAAAAAAAAAGGAAAAAAAAAGATTTTCTAAGGATTTAAAACGAACGAACGAACGTGACGCGAACGGATTTAATTAAAAAAAAAAAAAATTTTTTTTTATTCCACGAGTTTTCTTGGAAAAAAAGAAAACGTTCCAGATAATTTTTTTGTGAATATTTCATGGACAAAACAAACGTTTGGAAAAAAAAATAATAATCGAATGTTTAATGGACGATTTTTATAATTTTCCAGTTTTTTTTTCTCTTTATTTTTACAAAAAAAATTCTTATTGTTGTTATCATCATTATTATTATTTTTTACAATTTCGAATATCCCACGGGAGTTTTTTTTTTTTAATTAAATAAATGTCGTAAGAGAAAAATGGGGGGAGAGGGGGGGAAAAAAACAAAACGTTTACCTCGCGACCTCAAGTTTGTTAACAATGTATAAAGGAGAATTTTTCTTTCTTTTTTTCATTTAATTTTATAAAATGATTAGGTTTTGTCATAATCGAAACGTTAACAAAATGTATCATTTTATATATTTTTTTTTTATTTTTACAAAATTTTTTATTTTTATTATTAAATGACGAGTTTTAATTATAATCTAAATAATTAAAATACGGGTCTTTTTACGTTTCGTTCGGTTTTTCTTTTTTAAATTAACAAAAAAAAAGATTTTTCTTCTGGTTTCTCGATTACGGTGTTGCCAATTTTTTTTTTTTGTAAATAAACAGAGAGAGAGAAAGAGAGGGATAAATAAGAGAAGAGTGAGAGTGAGAGAGAGAGAAAACAAAGTTTTTTTTTTTCAATTTTTAAAGTGTAGAGTCCAGTCGAATGGAGAGAGAAAAAAAAAAAAAGAAAAATTGTCAATCAAAACTTTTTTTTTTTTTTTTTTAATAAAAAAATGTAGAAAAAAAAAAAAAATTTGTAAAGATTTCCCGGGAGTTTTGTAGCGGTTCCCTAAGGTTAACCCTTTGTCATTGTCGTCGTCCTCGTCGTCTGCTGGTAACAACATTAAATGATCGGTTAGTTAAATTTAAGATTAAATTTCAAAGTGGAAAAGAGAAAAAAAAAATGTCGGATTTGAAATTTTTTTTTTTTCTCTTTTGTGGCGGGCATTGATGGAAAAAATAAATGAAACTTATTATTATTATTATTTTCCGAATAAAAGGTTTATATAAAAAAGTTTCCCTCCTCTCTCTCTCTCCCCCCCCCCGGATTCCAATAATGAATAACAAAAAAAAAAAAATTTTTTTATTTATTAAAAGTTTTAATAATAATAATAATAATAATAATAATAATAATACATTTATTATTATTATTATTATTATTTTGAACCGCCATTAGTGCCGCCATTCGTACGTGAATTCTTTCGAAACGAAAGAAGAAAAAAAAAAAGAATCTTTATTATAAACCAATATTATTGTTTTCAACGTTTCTTTTTTTTTTATTTAATTAAAAAAAATATATAATATTATTATTATTATTTTATTTTTATTCCGCCATATTGGATTTTCTTTTGTTTGCCCTCATATATTTTTTTTTCCCCCTCTTTCTTCACCGTTATTAACATCATCACCGTCATCGTCATGACCATCATCATCATCATTTTTATCGTTGTCGTCGTCGTTTTTTTTCTTTCATACGGTCTGTCGGCCATTTTTATTTTTTTTGTTTTCGTTTGTTTGTTTATTTGTGTTTCTCTCTTTCTCATTGCAAAGCCTCCGCGATTTTTCATTTTTGCTTATTTTTTTTTTGTCGCTCGTGTTTTTTTTTTTTTTTTTTTTTTTTTTTAAAAAAGTGATTAATTAAAAAAAATTTTTTTCATTTTTTTTTTTGTTTGCGTCTTTTGTCATTTTCAGAATTTTTTCCGAGCGAAATGAGAGTAAACAAAAAAAAAATGGCGGAGGGCTGGGAAAAGAGAAAGAGAGAGAGAGAGAGGCGGGGAAGTGGGAGGGAGGGAGAGGGAGAGGGAAGAGAATAAAGAAATTCAAAGCCTGTTTTTGTAATTTTTTTACTCTATGGAACGACTTAGAAAATTTTTTGAGTTTTTTCTTTTTGTTTTATTATTTTTAATTTTACGCCCGTTTCGAATTATTAATAATAATAATAATAATACTTTTTCCACGGGGAACAATTTTTTTTTGTTTTCCTCTTTCATTGTAAGAATCACACACGGACTACAAAAAAATTTTTTTTTTTTTATTTTTTTTTATTATTTATTTAAAATGAATATTTAATTTCCCAACCGATTTAAAAAAATCCCGTGCGTGCGTGCGTGCGTGCATGCGTGCATTTCTCTCGTATGTGTGTAATATTATTATCATTACGTTCTTTTACATTTTTAACAACGTGAAAATTTACTCAACATTTTCCCGCGGGAACATGTTATATATTTATATATAGAATTTTTTTTTTTTGAATTTAACCGGGAAAAAAAATTTTTTTTTTGTTTCTTCTACTTTTCGTCAACGAAAATTTAAAAAAAAAAAAAAATCAATTTAACTCATTTCCGCTTTTTCAAAAGTTGTCTCGACTGATTTCGAATTGTTTCCTTCCTCTTCCCCTTTTCCCCTCCCTTCCTTCCTCTCTCTCTCTCTCTATGATATTTTAGTTGTGTTGAAATAGTCTTTAAAAAAAAAAAACAAAAACGTCGTGGCACGAACTCATCCCCTTTTCTCTTTTCACCTTCCGGTTTACAATTAATATTATCATTATTATTATTATCACATCGATTGTGTTTTTTAAATTTTACCCGCCTTTTTTTTTTTCATAAGTTTCTTCCTCTTTCTATTCGAACCCCGTGAACTAATTTTCACGTTATCAAATTTTATCTTTTGTGTGTGTGTGTGCGCGTGTGTTATTTAATTCGTTTTCGTGCGTAATTTTTGTCCTTTTTCTATTTTCCCACCCCTCCTCTCTTCCCCAACCCAATCTCCACCCCCCTCACTCAAAGGTTTCCATTGTTTTTATTGTATTTAAAACAAAATAATAATAATCGTTACCGTCATCGCGACCGCCATCATTCTTAATCTCGTTCATTTAAAAAACAAAAACAATGATGATGATAATAATAATAATAATGATAATTAAACTTTACCGTAAGAATTTAATATCTAATTTAACGGTTGAAAAAATTTTTCCCTTTTCCAATTATTATAAACCTTTTTTTTTTTGTTTCGAATCGTTTATTATTATTATTATTGTTATTTTCAGGCACACAACCGCCTTGTAGCCGATTTAGATATTTTAGGTTTTCAAGTCGTTGAGACTCAAAGTTTTGCCAACGAAGTTTCATCGGCATTGAGCAAATTGAAAGAAAAAGACGTGAGAATCATTTTAGGTAATTTTAACGAATCATGGGCGAGAGAAATTTTTTGCGAAGCATACAAGTACGTACCTTATTCAACGATGATGATGATAATAATAATAATGAATACAATTAAAACGGAATTACCTTTTTTTTTATGTCTTCTGCTTCTGCTTCTTCTCTCCATACTCCACCGCCTTGTTTGTTTTGGGTGAAGGTTCGGAATGTACGGTAGAAAATATCAATGGTTGATTATGGGGACTTACAGCAATGATTGGTGGTTGACGTCATCATACAAATCCGAAAATTGTTCTATGGAAGAATTAAGTGAAGCATTAGAAGGTTGCATATTGACTGATTTACTGCCTTTAAGTACCAACGGAGAGATAACAATCTCAGGGAGTGTAAGTCATCATTTTTATCCATATGTTAAAAACGATTTATCTTCTGCCACGTTTTATTTTATGCAACAGACAGCAGAAGAATACAGACTGGAATATGATAATCTACGTGGCGATCATTATTCGAGATTTCACGGTTACACTTACGATGGTATATGGACAATGGCATTAGCAATACAACACGTTGCTCTACGAATACGTCACTATAGGAAAAATGACACGATGAAAAATTTCAAATATCGCGATCAATTATGGGAACAATTGTTTTTACAAGCATTGAAAAATACGAGTTTCGAAGGAGTGACGGTGAGTTAACAACTAATGCCACGTTTTTTTTTTTTTAAAATAAATTTATCGGAAATTTTCCTATCTTAAATTAATTATTATTATTATTTTTTTTTTTTTGTAATTAACGTAAAATGCTAAAAAAAATAAGAATAAGACGAAGGAGAAAAAATTAATAATATTAAAAAAAAAATTGTTATCAATTAAAATGGAATTAAAATGGCTGAACAAAAAAAAATAAAACAATTTTATGCAAATTAATCATTTTAATTTGCTTTTTAAGTAAAAAAAAATAATAATTTTTTCCGTTAAAATTTTTTTTCTTTTTTTAATTATTATTATTATTATTATTATTATTATTATTATTATTATTTTAAACCTTTTTTAGCAGAAGTTCACCCCCCTATCGACTCGTTTCTTCCACCGTGATTTTCAACCTTAAAAATCGTTGCCAACCTCGTAAAAAAAAATATATGGGGAAAAAAAATTTTTTTTGTTTATTTATCGGTTGGCAAACCTGATAATTTTTTTTTTTTTAAGTTGGCAATAATATGTAAAACTTAAATGATTTTTTTTCAAAAATTAAAAATTTTCCATTTAATTTTAAATTAAAAGTTTTTTGGGGAAAAGTTTCCGGAAGAGGAAATCGAGAGAGAGAAAAAAAAAAAAAGAAAATTTGGCAAAAAGTTTCTCGCGTGGAAAGGGAGGAAGTGGGGGAGAGGCGAGGGGGGAAAGGGAAAAGATAAAAAACTAAAAATTTAAAAGTTATTATTTGTAACTTTTGTAATATCCCGTAAATAAAAAAAAAAACTTTTAATTGATATTTTATTTAACTAAAATAAAAACAAAAAAATTAAAGAGAAATAATAATAATCATAATAATAATAATAATAATAGTCATAATCATAATGATGGTGATGATGATGATGATGGTAAATTATTTTAAAGTACTCCCTTCCCAAAAAAAAAAAAAAAAAAAAACAATAAATAAATAATTTTTTTTTGTTTTTCACGCGATAAAATGCCTTAATAAAGTTTCGAAACAAAGTTTGTTGTTTTTTTTTTGTTTGTTGGTTGTTCTTTTCTTTTTTTTTTTTTAAAAAATTGAAGTGAAAAATATTTTTAAAAAAAAAGTTGGCGATAAAAATTTAAATTTTATTATTATTATTATAATATATAAAAATAGATTTTGAAAAATATTTTTTTTTTTTTTAAATAAAAGAATTTAATTAGAATTTGATAAAACGCACCTGAGACCGACACCCCCTCACCCTCACCCTCCCGCAAAAAAAAAATCTCAGGTATACATATATATATGAGCAGGGGATTTTGTCATCACGCACGTCATTTTCACGCATTTTCTCGCATTTAACGCAATTTTTTCATTATTATTATTTTTTTTTTGTTTTTCAACATGCGTGCCCTCTATACGCAGGGTCCCGTAAGATTTTACGACAACGAAAGAAAAGCCAGCATTATGCTCAAACAATTTCAAGGTGAGTTGTTTTTAACCTTTGACCTTTCAACCTTACGGCAAGGTTGAAATGTAAAAAAAAAACCCCACTAAAACCATATTATCATTATGTTTTTTCTTTTGCCACGATGATGATGATGATGATGATGATGATGATGATGATGAATGGAACTATGAAATTTTATATATTTTTTTTTTTTTTCATCGATCGCAGGTGGACAAGAAGTTAAAATCGGAGAATTTAATGGCGTGACCGAAAGTTTGGACCTGAGCCGGGGTCACGTGATCAGGTGGCTTGGAAAATATCCCCCGAAAGACCGAACGCTTCAAATATTCGAACACAATCAAGTTAATTTAACCGTTTATATACTTTTGGCTTGCACCGCCAGCTTGGGAATAATAATGACCATTGTTTTTTTAACGATCAATATTATGTTTCGAAACCAAAGGTAAAGTTTTTTTTATCTCTCTCTCTCTCTCTCTCTCTCTCTCTCTCTCTCACTATCTCTCTCTTTGTCCCTTGCGCCCTATCTATCCCTTCCTTTTCCCAATCTCTATTTTCCCTCTCACCCTCACTTTCTCTTTCCCCTCCCACCACTCATTCTATTCGAAATTTAATTTTTTAATAATAATAATAATAATGATAATGTTGACGGTAATGATTGTTATTATTATTATTATTATTATCACTTGATTATAATATCGCATGAGTTGATCGTATTATATCGTCTGCTACACGTTAACGTGAAAAAACATTTTTATCAGTGTAAATTTTATTTATTTAATTTCGGTTGACCTTAACCCATTAAAGTTTTGTTTTTTGTTTGTTTGTTTGTTTGCTGTTGTTGTTGTTTTTTGTTGTTGTTGTATATTGTCAGGGACCACGTTTGAAAAGAATTTTCTTTTTTATTTTTAACTTTATTCGATCGAAACAAATTAATTTATTACCCTTTTCCTGCTTTTTCGGCAAAAAAAATGAATGAATGAATAATAATAATAATGATGATGATGATAACTGTAAGAAAAATGAATTTTAATTAAATTTTGAAAAATTTTTAAAAATTTGTTGGGGGGCTTGTGTGCTGAACGGGGAAAAGGGGAGGATGGAGCGTACCGAGAGGGGGAAGGGGGGATCGTAACGAGGAGGTGAAAATTATCAACGTCAATTTTAAAGAGAGAGAGAGAGAGAGAGAGAGAAAATTTTTATAGTTTTTGTTTTTTACTTACGTTGTAACGTTTTTTGGTCGAACGTGTGGAAGCAGATGAAAAAAGAAAAAATTCGTTTTAACTTTTTTTACATATGCAATTTAAAATATGTTACAAGGGGAAAGAGGAAAAGGATAAAGAAAATAAAAAAATAAAGAAAATGAGGAATTTTAAAAAGAGAGAGAGAGAAAAAGAAAATTTTAAAGGATGACCATTAAACCCTTTTTTATCCTTTTTTTTTTTTTTTTTTTTTTTGGAAAAAAGAAAAGTAGTAAAGTAGAATCAGGGTGACAACAACAACAACAACAAAAAAAAAAACTCTTTCCTTTTTTCCTTTTTCCTTTTTTTTCTTTGCACGTTTTCCAGTTTTTAAAATGAAAAAAGTTTTTTTTTTTTTTAATCTGATTTTACTCCCATTTTCCAAATAAAAATTGCTTAAAGACATTTTTTTTTTTCTTCTTTTTAAAAATTTCCCTTTTTAACTTTTTTTTTTTTATTTGCCTTTTTCCCTCTCGACGACCGTATTAATAATAATAATAATATATACGTGATTATTTTTTCCGTTTCTTTTCAGATATATAAAAATGTCTTCGCCATATTTAAACAATTTAATTATAATAGGATGCATGCTCACCTACAGCAGCGTCATTTTTTTAGGTTTGGATTCTCAATTGACAAGCGTCGAAGCTTTTCCATATGTTTGCACTGCAAGAGCTTGGCTTCTTATGAGTGGTTTTTCATTAGCATTCGGTTCGATGTTTAGTAAAACATGGAGAGTTCATTCCATATTTACTGACGTCAAACTTAACAAAAAGGTACATTCTTTTTATTACCAAAACGGAAACCAAAACGGAAAATTTTTAAATAACGTAAAATATTTACCTCTCCCACGGGAGAGTCCCGAAATCCCCTCATAATAATTTATTTTAAAAGCAGACGAAAAAAAATAAAAAGAGTGGAAATTCTTTTTCCCGTTGATTTATTTCCGGTACGATTTCGGCATTTTTTTTTTTTTTTAATTACTTTGACGGTTTGACCTTTTGCAGCTACGATGATGATGATACCGTTTGCAGAAAACCTGAAATAATAATAATTAAGAAAAGTTTAAAAAAAATTTTTTTTTGTCGTGTCAATAGGTAATAAAAGATTATCAGCTTTTCATGGTCGTCGGAGTTTTGGTGGGAATCGATTTGGTAATAATGACAACGTGGCAAGTCACTGATCCATTTTATAGAGAAACTAAACAAATGAATCCGTATCCGGATCCGACAAATGACGACATACTCATAATACCTGAAAATGAATATTGCCAAAGTGAAAGAATGACCATATTTGTTGGTTCGATATATGCGTACAAGGGTCTTCTTATGGTACGTTTCTTTGTTTGTTTGTCTGTCTGTCGTTTGTTAATTCGTATGTGTTCGCGTTCGCAAAAATAAAAAAATTTTTTTTTTTTTTTTAATGGTGATAAGAAGATTTTATCAATTGTTTTGTTTTATTTCGTTGATAAAATTTGATAAAGAAGAGCGTGAAATAAATTTTTTTTTTTGATTGTGGTTGTCGTTGTCGTTGTTGTGGGAAAAACAACAGCGGCCATTTTTTTAATTGTATATTTTTTATTTAAAGATTTTCGGAGCTTTTCTCGCTTGGGAAACTCGACACGTATCGATACCAGCATTAAACGATTCGAAATACGTCGGAATGTCCGTTTATAACGTTGTCATCATGTGCGTCATGGGCGCCGCAATTAGTTTTGTTTTATCCGACAAACAAGATGCTTCGTTCATAATAATATCAGTTTTCATTATATTTTGCACAACGGCAACCCTGTGTTTAGTGTTTGTACCTAAAGTTAGTCAATATTTTATCTGACGTCATCACCTGTTATTTTTTAATTATGACGTCATTAATGTAATTTTTTTTTTGTTTGTATTGCGTCATCGATAGTTGGTCGAATTGAGAAGAAATCCTCAAGGGGTCATCGATAAGAAGACTCGTGCTACTCTTAGACCAATAACAAAAACCAGAAGAGATTCGATAGCGAGCGAATTAGAAGATAAAATAAAAGATGCCAAATTACAACATTCTAAATACAGGTAAGCGAAACATGTTAAAAAATTTTTTAGGGAAACGACGTATGAAAATTTTGGTTTTATGTTTTTCTAGAAAACAATTGTTGGATACCGAGAGTGAATTACAAGTACTCGTGAGAAGGTTAGGAAGTGACGTTTCGGGACTTCAGGATTCTGATAGTGGTACTCTCGATAGACTCACCGTACCTTTGCTTAAAAAAGAAGGTAAAAAAAGATTTCACTTAAGAAAATTTTGTTGTTTGCATGTCGTTATAATAAGGTTTCGTTTTAGCTCCTTCCGGAACGGAAACGACTGAAATAAGTTCACTATGTTCGTTGAATTCATCACAAGAAGAAGATTGTTTCAATATGGGAGATACAACAAAACCCGGTCAACAAACGCCGTGTCCTCGTAAGAAAACATCCTTTGTTAAAAAATCATCCGAGGGAGATGTTAAACAAGATTCTATATTGAGAAAAGAACAAAGAACTCGTTTCGCTGATGAAAATTTACCACCAAGTAAAAACGTTTCTTTCGGATTACCAGATCAAAAATCAACGCAAAAATTCCAACAATCACAAATAACGCAATCGAGATCTCAAGGACCGACCGTAGGACAAACAATACAACAACATCAACCTCAACAAGTTCAAAAAATAAAACCTGGGGAAACGAAAACAAAATCCGAACAAAATTTAGAAAAATTAGGTATCACACAAATTCATCCGAAACCGCGACAAGATTACGAAAATCGTCAGTATCAACAACCACAACAACAACAACAACAACACCACGTTCAACAAGGACAAATTTCATCACATCCGGAAATGGAATCCCTGGGTAAATCCTCTCATTCATTAATTTACGACGATTTGCAAGAGAAAAAAATACAGGAAGTGACGACGCATTTAACGTCTCAACTTCTTAAAAAACACGATCAGCAATATTCAAGCGAAAACATACGTAGGAGATCGAGTGTTAAAAGTGCTAATTTAAATGAAAATTTCGTGACGTGTCAGCAACAGCAACAACTCAAACACAGACGCACAAGCGTTCCTAATTGGAGCACGGTCAAAACAAACGCGTCGGAAAAAAAAAACAATACGAAAAACAATGTAGAAAGGAAGAAAATATTCGTGGACGAAAAAAGTCAAAGGTCGCAAGAGAGAAGGTCAAGTTATAAGAAACGCGGTGATTATGTTGAATTCACCGGATCCGACCCTGACGTTAACTGGTCCGATTACGAAAGTGTTGCGGATTCCAAATCCAAAAATAATAATGCTGGATGCATTAACGGTTCATATCAAAATTACGGTTATCAAAAAAGTCAAGAAAGACTCGGTAGCAGCTCGGGTGTCATCAAATACATTGAAAAAGAAGAATATTGGGTGACGCAACCGGATATATCCTTCAGGAGAGGATCAGGATCACAAAAGGGTCGAATTTCTCCATATTTGCTCAAAGATCATGTCAATAATCAATCTTCCCCTAGTGTACCCGCAAGTGTGGTTGATTCTGCACAAGCTCAAGGTGACAACTTCAACCTCTTTTCTTTGTTTTTGGTATCTACGATCATCCTTCGAGTTGATTTTTGTTTTTTTTTTAGACGTTCCGTGCATTCATCGTTCCGATTCCGAACGGGGATATAGAGGTCCCTGTCACGGATCGACGACTCAAGGAAGTCCCGGCGTTCATTCTCAGGCATCTTCCAGAGGTCTTTCGCAAGCGTCTCCCACATCTTCGATAAAAGGTTCGAGCAGAACGTGTTGCGAACATTCTAACAAATCACAAAAACATTCATTTAACACGAATTTAACACACGTATTGAGCACTCCGGATGTCGCCGCAATTCCGCCCTATTACGATTCGAAAACATTTGACATATACGCCACCGAAAAAAGGAGTAAAAGTCAAAAAAATAAAGGCGGTATGGGTGGTAGCGGTGGTCATTTGTGCACCGCCGTGTCAGAAGGAGAACTTTTAGATTTATCAATTTTACCCATTTTTCAAAAATTGTTAACCGAACGACATAAATCGCGTACGGAATATGGAGCATCCATTGCTTCTTGTCCTAATATTTCAATTAAATGCGACATTGTCGAATATTTGTAGTATTTTTTTCTTAGTTAATAATTAATTAATTATTTTAAATTAATAAATTAATTTCAAAATCAAACAACAAAAATCAAGTTTTAAAATAATAAATTGTTTTAAAAAAAAAAAAAAAAAAAACAAATTTTTTAACATGTTAGAGTGTGATATGACTATTAAATATAAAAAAAAAAAAATTAATTTGAAATTTTCTCTCCTTTTCTTTTTTTTTTAAGATTTTCTCCCCTTTCTTTTCTTTTCCCTTTCGAAAATAACGAAATTTACATTCCTCATCAAATTTAAATAAAAAAGAAAAAGAAATTTTTTTTTAATAATAAATTTTAACTTACCCAAAGTCTAAAACGAAAAAGCGGTAAATTTGTCGTATTTTGTCGCCATTTTGATAAATGACAGTTGGCGACACTAATTCCCCAAGATCGGTGAGGTTGGCACTCACTCCAGCTATTCTTCTTACCTAGTATAAATTAAAATATATTCTTTAATTAATAAAGACAATGTTTTTTGTGGGTTTAACGGGGGGCATAGCATCGGGAAAATCAACGGTAACTAAATTATTTATCGATAATAACGTTCCCGTTATCGATGCAGATACGATAGCTAGGCAAGGTAAAAAAATAAAAATCGATAAACTAATTTTAATGTATATTTTTTACATTAACCTATATTTTTTTTTTGTCACTTTGGAATGATTATTCAAAAAATAAATAAAAACTGTTGAAAATTGTTTTTAGTTGTTGAACCTGGGAAAAAAGCTTGGAAAAAATTAAAAAAAGAATTTGGTGAAGATATTTTTTTTAAAGATGGAACATTAAATAGAGCTCTATTGGGAAAAATAATATTTGAAAATGTCGAAAAAAGGAAAAAATTAAATTACATAACACATCCAGAAATAATTAAACAAATGATTATATCAGCTGTCAAATTAGGATTTCAAGGTTTTTATATAAATCCATTTTTAATCCATAATTATTATCATTATTATAATTGTTTTTCTTTGAAAATCGAAACAAGAAAAAAAAAGGAAAATTAATTTTCTTACTTGTTCAAATTTATTTTAGGTCATCCTTTTGTTGTGTTAGACATTCCATTATTGTTCGAAACAGGAGAATTAGTACAATTAATGCATAAGATAATTGTAGTGTCTTGTACCGAAAAGTTACAAATAGAAAGACTTTGCATGAGAAATAATTTAACAGAAGAGGAAGCCAAATTAAGGATTTCGTCTCAAATGTCACTCGATGAAAAATGTCAAAGAGCCGATTATGTCATTGACAATTCTTCTTCGTTTGAAGAAACTATAAGTCAAGTAAATAAAATAATTGTAGATTTAAAAAATTTAAAATTTCATTATAAAATTAGAATAATAATAGCATTTGTTTTTTTGATATTACTTTTTGGTATTTATTATTTGTTTAGCATTTCGAGATAAATAAGAGATTTAATAGATATGTGATTTATTAATCTTTACCATCTTTTATTTAATAATTTTTCGAAGCTGTGATAAAAAATTATTTAATGTGTTTCATATGTAATTATTGAAATTTTGTTAAAATTTATTTTTTTTAGTTTTTACCTGAACAATAAGTATTTATTTCATTTTGAGAAGTTATTCGATGAATTTATATATTTTCATTTGAAAAATTTATATAAGTAACAAAATATTCTACCAAATCGATTTTTTTTGTAATGATACCAAAAATTATTTATTTATTAATTTATACTATTTTCAAAAGTGTAAAATTGTTTTATTTAAATCACTTCAATGCAATATAATTACCATAGTTTCATTTTATCGAGTAAGTAGGTATTGTCCCAAAAACAATTTATAAGTTAATTACCGTAGTATGAAATAGTTATTATTGTATTAACATAATATATTATTAATTATTGATCGTGTTAAATGTGATAAATTCAATGAAAACTAACCTAAATTTTATTACACATAATATTTGTTACTGTAATTTTTTAAAATTCCTACATTTTTCCTGTTTTTAAAATCAAATTGAAAATGTAATTTTAATAAACAAAGTTTTGTCTTACATGCAATGCAATATGCAAATAAAGTTAATTAAGAAATTTTTACAAAAATTGTGAAACCTTTTATGATGATTTAATAATCATAAAAATAATAATTAATCTTCTAATCTCTTATTTGTAAAATTTAATAAAAAAAAATATTGTCAAATATAAAATTCGATATTATTATTATTAGATGAAAATTTATAAAAACAATTTTAGTAATATTATAAAATTAATTACCAATTAGACCAGTGACAAATGTTATTAAATTTCAATAGAACAATTAATCAATAAAATTAAACAAAAATTGTTTTTTGTATTTGTTGAAAATAATTCAAAAGAATTAAACCGTTTTTAACGGTTTTTTTTGCTGTTATTTATTCCTTTTAACGTGATTGGAACGTACGAAAGAAAAAAAGTCTTAAGTTGGCAGTTCTGCAAAAAACCAAGCCAAGCAGTTCGCCAGTTTATAGCATTTTTTTGTATTTGTATTCGTTATAAACCTTTAAAAATAAATATAAGGAATTATTATTTTATACAATAATTGTTTGTTTATCGTTGGTAATTAGACTTAAAAATTTAGTTAAAAATGTCTTCGAAACGTAAATCCGATGTTACAGTAGATAAATCAAAGAAGAAAGTTAAAAAAGACGAAAGCGACGGTGATGAATTTGACGATGAAAATGATTCTATGAGCGACGCGTCCAATAACGGGGCTGATGACCCGGAAGATAAATCATCCGATGCGGTACAGGAATTTTTGCCAGGAAGCGAAGCCTCGGAAAAACTGGTAAATATTTTATTAAATAAACAAATATTTAATTATGTTTTTATTCAAAAATAAAAAATACAATTATAATGAAAATACGCCGCTCTTTTCAATGACACACATTTCTTGGAAATATGACAGATGGTCGAATTATGTTTCTTATTATTTCTTTTCACATGAAATATTTATTAAAATCAATTACAAAGCATTATTTTTTACTTTTTTTAAAATATATATATATGAAAATAAAAATAATAATAAAAAACGTTATAGAGAAATGAATAATTTGTTGTTGTTGTTGTTTTTATTCATTATTTTTATTTAATAACAAACAAGTTTTCAAATTGATATTTGAATTGTTTTCTCTTTCAACTGATTTGTTTATGAGAAAAAAAAATAGTTTTTAAAAGTTTTACTAATTTCAACCTTTATGTCAACCATATGTCATCATTTTTTAAAATTTTTAATTTTGCCTAATTAAATGTTTTATTATTAAAAATAATTTTTTAATGAGGTCATTGTTAGTTTACATTTATAATTGCGCCTAATATAAATAACAATTGTAGAGAAAGAAAAATTGACATAATATCGATTGAAATGAAAAGAAATTTACATGACTAATTATTAATAATAATAATAATCCAAAAATTTTACAGAAAGAAAAATTAAGTGGTAATGTCGGAGTTCTCCTCATTTGTGGTGGTGTCAATTGGGATTTAGCAGGGAGAAAAGTTCCTCCGAAAAGTGTTAAAAATGCTTGTTTAACTCCAATTAATTTATATATTCCACATCGAATGGTACCTGAATTCAGAGTAAGACTTGTAGCGACAGGTTGTAACTCTGCTCACAGTGTAATCATAACTGAAGAGGGCAAAGCCATGACATTTGGTAGAAACGATAAAGGTTTTTTTTTTTTTTTTATTATTATTTTCTTAAACAAATTAATTTATTTAAAAATATTTTTCTTCGAGTTATTAAATAGTAAAAATATATTAATAAAAAATAACATTTTAGGTCAATTGGGAGTGGGTGATACAAAAACTAGAGATTTACCAACATTAGTCGAATCATTAAAAGAATACATAATTGTCGGTGCAGCGACAGGAAGAAGTCACACATTATTTTTAACAGAAAGGGGTACAGTTTTCTCCGTTGGTGATAATAAAAATGGTCAACTCGGAATAGGAAGCAGTACAATTCAGGTTCATTTTTTTTTTCATAGGATAAGAAACGCCCCCTTCCCCTCCCTCCCCAAAAAATTAATATTAAATGTGTGTTATTTTATATAGACTTTAGAAACTCCGAGAATGATTAAGTACAAAGGGCCTCCAATAGTTAAAGTTGATTGCGGTGCCGAATTCAGTATGATATTAGACGTGAGAGGATCTCTTCATTCGTTTGGTTTACCTGAATACGGTCAATTAGGTCACAATACAGACGGCCAATATTTCGTTAATAGTAACAAATTATCATTTCACTGTGTGCTTGCCCCAAAAAAAATTGGAATGTTTATCGAAAAGGGTAAAGATAATCATCCGGTACCCGTAAAGGTAAACTTTTCTTCTTTTTCCCGCCCCCCCCTCCCCTCCCCTTTTTTTTTGTCTTATTTATAATATTTTTGTTTTGTTTTGCAGGTGGATGAAATATTAGATTTTTCGTGTGGGCAAAATCACACGGTGGCAATAGACGGTCGTAAAAGATTATTTTCGTGGGGATTTGGCGGTTACGGACGATTAGGTCATGCCGAACCCAAAGACGAATTCGTTCCAAGATTAATTAAATTTTTCGATTCACAATCGAGAGGCGTGAAAAGCGTTTATTGTGGTTCAAGTTACACATTGGCCATAAATGACTACGGTAATGTTTGTGAATGTATATTTGGGGGGGTAGTGCGGACGTGGTAGTAAGCGCGGGTCGGATGGTTTAATTTTATATAAAAATGGCGAAGAGAGTAATACGGTGAATAATATTGTTATTGTACGATTTCTCTCTCAGGTGCCGTTTATTTGTTCGGTCAAACGAAAAGAACGGGGGAAGCAAACATGTATCCGAAACCACTTCAGGATTTATCGGGTTGGAACGTTCGAAGCGTGGGTTGTTCCGTTACTTCCATCGTCGTAGCAGCCGACGAAAGTGTTATTGCATGGGGTCCAAGTCCGACTCACGGAGAATTAGTAAGATTATTATTATTATTATTTATCTCTTAGCCATGAATGTACATTTTCGGGAAAACAAAAAGAAAATAATAATAATAATTTATTATTTGTCATCAGGGAATCGGTGAGCTTCGGCGTAGTTCGACCGTACCCGTCGAAGTTAAAACTCTCGATGGGATTCATATAAATCAGGTAGCCTGCGGGATAGCACACACACTTTTTATTGCCAGGGATTCGACGGAAGCGGAAAAGGAAAAAATCAACAAATTATACGAGTTTCAACCTGGTGAAGCGTAAAAGTTTTTTTTAAAAAAGGAAAAAGAAATTTTTTTTTTTTTTTTTTTAATTGATAAAGGACGACGAATTTTGATTTTTTTTTTTTACTACTACTACTATTATTATTATTATTATTTTTTTGTATTTTGATATACTCTCTTTTTGTCTCTCTCTCTCTCTCTTTCTCTCGTACGCTCTTTTATACTTTTTATATTCGGACGCAGCAGTGATATTCCATTTTTTTTTTTTTGTATTAATATTTTAATTATTTTATTACTATTATTATTATTATTATTGATTATTGTTATTATCATTATCATTAATTGACGGTTGATTGATTGATTATTCTCAGGCGAATTTTTTTTTTTTTATCATTTTTCGTGTTCATTACTTATACGTATGATTATCCTTTTTTTTTTGCGCCCAAACGCAATGATGATGATGATGATGATGATAATGATGATAATTAAACATTGTATACGATAGGAAAAGTAAAAGAAATTTTATATATATAAAATGTAAAAAAAAAAAAAAAAAAATGAAATAATTTGCCAAGAGAGCGAGACTTGAGAATTGATCGAATGAAATTTTTTTTTTTTTTAATGTTTTTTCTCTCTCTCTCTCTCTCTCTTTCTCTCATTTATTTTTATTTTCGAAAAATTAAATTTTTTTTAAAAATTATTTTGTATCGTGTAGAAGTCTAAATAGGACTAGAAAGAGAGAGAAAGAAAGAAAGAAAGAAGGAGAGAGAGCGATGGGAAAGAAAAAAGAAACTTGTGTGAATTATATTTTCTCTCTCTCTCTCTCTCTCTCTCTCTCTAAAAAAAAGATGAATGAATGTATTAAGTTTTGCTCATGTATTACAAAAAAGAAAAAAAAAGACAAAATAAAGGCTAGCTCCCTTTCTCTAAAAGGAGAGATGGGCAGGGTGGGGAGGGGGAAAACAATAATTAATTATAATGATGTTAAAAATGTAAAAGACAGAAGGAGGGTTGGTGGAAGGATGGGTGGAGGAGCGAGTGAGAAGGGTCGGGGAGTTTTTAATTTTGACATTTATACATTCATGCATACATAAATACATAGGTACATAGGTACATAAGTGCATATACATACACGACGAGTACATGGATAAATAAATTATTTTTATTTTTATTATTATCCGCCGAGTTTTTTTTTGTAATTATTATATATGTAAGTTATTATTTTTAAGTGATTTTACTACTATTATTATTATTATTATCATCATCGATCATTAAGCTCTCGTATTAAAATAATAATAATAATAGTTAGTAATAATAAACTGATTCTTCCACATTTTATATATATATATATTTGTATACATATTTTTTTTAATTATTAGTATTAGGAATTTTTTCTTTAGTATTATTATCATCATCATCATCATTATTATTATTATTATTTTTACTGTAGATATAGAGAAAGTAATAAAAAAGAAAAGAAAAAATAAATAAATTCCAAGTGTAATTATTAATGAATGGTTAGGGCTTCCTTTTGAGGGGTGTAAAGGGAAGGGAAGAGGGAGAGGGAGGAAGAAGAAAGAAGGGTGGGAGAAAATGTCTCGAATGACGTAAGAACGATTGATTGATTGATTGATCGATCGATGGATTGGAAGAATGATTTTATTTTGATTTTTTTTCTTTTTATACACGTTGTGTAAGAGATTACTTTCCTCGCTTCCTCCCCCTCTACCATACCCTACTCCCTCTTCCCTTTCGTTTCCCTTCCCCCGCTCCCCTCTTCCCCTTCCCCTCTCCCACCGGGATTAGTAAGAATAGAGTGATTTTGATATTGTTTGGGATTTTTACGGGTCGATTAAATAGAATTCATTATGATTATTATTTTTTTCAGTATTTTATTATTATCATTATCATTATCATTATTTTTTGATAATAGATTAAATATAATCATGACGTCACATTTTTTTTGTCTTTTTATCCTGTACGACGAATGTGTTTTTTGCAATCATAAAAATTAAATTTTTTTTGTAAAGAAACATTATTATTATATTTATATATATATATATATATATTAACAAACGAGTTTTTTTTTTTGGGGGGGGGGTTTGTTTGTTTTTTAGTAAGAGTGGAAGAAGAAAATCGTCACTTACGACAAACAAACAAACAAACAGACGAAGGGAAAATTATTTTTTTACACACACATATATATACATAATTAATAAAATGACGGTTAAAACTTTTCCTCTCTCTCTCTCTCTCTTATTTTCCCTTTTTTATTATTATTATTATTATTATCATTGTATTATTTCGTTGCATGATTTACTTAATTAATGTCTTTTTTTTTTAGACTGAATTTTATTAATAAATAAATAATTTTTTTTTTCTAATTTGTATAATTTTTTAAATTTTTTTATTCAATTGTATTAATATTTTAAAAAAATAAAAAAAAAATAAATAAATAATTTATTGACTTTTGTCTTTTTTTTTCATTATCAATCATCATTTTTCAAAAAGTGTGGGACTCGACACTTTTCTTTCAGGGTTCATCATCCTGCTCCGGGAAAACGGGGATGCGAGTGGAAGGACGGCGTGGAGATCTTCTTGCGTGGGATGGTCCGGCTCTTTTCGCGGGGGATCGACTCGCCTCCGGAAACTTGTCATTCTCGGGAGGTGGTTCGCGTGCTTGAGGTGCGTGCGATTCATTCCAACGGCAGAAAGAAGATGCGAACAAAGATGAAGATCGGGACGACGACGTCGGAGTCCGCACCGGTCGGATTCTCGCACTTCGGATTGCAAGAGTCAATAGGAAGGCGGCAGGGACGAAACGCGGACGGACTGCGGGGGATGCGTGGCAAACGTGGAGGTGAGAACACGCGGCGGCGGCGGGCGCGAACCCGTCGTCGTCGGGCGAACACACACACTTCTTTTCTTTCTTTGAGAGTCGGCGACCTCGGTCGATTCCTCTTCTGTCCCCCTTTCTATTCCCCACACCGATAGGGAGGATGCGATCAAATAATAATTCTTCACTTTAATCTTTTTACCTCTTTTCAGGTGACGTGGTAAGTCTCAATCCCAAGCCCCGATCGCATCATCAGGAGACAGGCGTTTCCCGTCCAATACCCCACGGCTAGGGACCGGAGGACACTTCCGAAAGAAGGTGCGGAACGTCCCGGGAGGTGCGTTCTCATCTTCGAGGAGGAGACGGAACGGAGATCAGGGCGGACCTGCCCAAAAACGATCATGTGGAACGGCTAACGTTCTGACCTACCGGAGAGGGGAGACCGAAATGTAGGTTATACTCCCACGAGCGTCTTCCCCCCCTTTCCATACAGGTCACGCTCTACCGACTTGTCCAGAAGTTTTAGTGGGTAGGGGTCCCCGTTTAGGCTTTCTTTTGGTTTCAAACCGATCCCCACACTCCCTCTGTAGCAGGAGGGGTTGTGCGTAACTCTTGCATTTCTCCTGGATCATCAAAAAAAAAAAAAAAAAAAAAAAGGCATTTCGCAATAACCTCCCCGCTTGGTAGCAGGAAGAGTGTGGGAATCAGCCGAAGCCACTACCCAACTTAAACTCCTGTATGTGCTTCATTGCGCTTTTTCCCCGGGAAGGAGGGGCAGTCGTAGGAGTATGACCCGCATTCCAGCCTCAGCTCGCGAGGGGGGGAGCGGATCCCTCACCGGCATAGCCGTTGCAGAGATACATTAATACAATAACCATATCAACCGGCCGTTTTATTCAAGCGAACGCGTTTTGTACGACATTCTTGGGGGTAGAAACGTTCAATGTGTCAAACCTCATTCGTCAGACATAAGACCGATAAGGTTTTCACCGAGCGCTTATTACCTATTGACCGGAAGATACGATAACAAACTCGTCTTGACGGATTTACAAGGTTTTCATTATTATTATTATTATTAACGTCGTGACAATAATGATGAATGATGACGTTATTAATCGGTTTGTTTTTTGTTTCCAGGGGATTTGACGTTGCCGCTTCCACCAGTGTCGTCGCCGCTCATCACCAAGACAAAGTTATTTCCGGAAGATGGCATCCGACAGAATTTTCATTTTTGAGCACGAGCGCCGACAGGACGTGCACTCTGTGGGCTTTACCCTCACCATTTGAAACCACCGTAAAACACCGAGCGTTAGGATTTCGCGAATATGAAATAATGTTTTCTCTCTCTCTCTCTCTCTCTCTCTCCTCACGTGAGCTCTCTTAAATTTGTAAATATTATTATTATCATCATTCTCGGGCTGTTGTACTCACCGTCATAGTATTTCCAGAACTTGAAAGTAAGTTTAAAAAGAAAAGAGCATCGTAATATCATAATCACCATTTCAGTCAGAAATTTCTAGAATTAATTTTCTTATTATCGGAAAAGTCTCATCGCCACTTACCGAACGAACGCTTTTAGTGCTTTTCGGCAGTAAAATATAAATGAGAGGCGAAGAATTGGGGGAAATCGTTAGCTAGAGCATGAAAAAGAGAAAAAGGTCGGCAAAAACGTGAACGTGTCCGTATTTATATACATAAATATATAAATTTTTTCGTTAGGT